GTGGCCTAGTGGCGACCGATTTTGCTTATTGAGCAGATTATTATGGGTTCAATCTCAAGCTCCTTCAGAGTATTGGTTAAACAAGTTCATAAAAGAAATAATATTCATGTTTTAGTAAAGTGTAAGAGGAAGTTTAGCTTGGTCGTTTTGTGATATAAGGAGCTCGGTGGCCTAGTGGTGACCGATTTTGCTTACTGAGTAGAAGATCGTGAGTTCAATGCAACGCTCTTTCGCGCTATTGAGTTCTTTTGAACGATTTTTCAAAATATAATACCTAAAAAGTGAACTTCAGACAAATTTTATATAGCTTCGTGTACCTCAGTTGTTTGAAGATGAAAAGCTCTTAAGTCTTGCACAACTTTTCATACAATTCTACGTTCTACAACTTTACCGAAGACAGCAAACAATTGTCTTGTGAACTAAAGAAGTTTGGATCGCTGCGCCATCTTTGCGGCCAAAACATGAACTTTTTTTTATCCTTCAAATTGTTAATCCATGAAAGTTCACTTCGAACCTCAACTCAATTGGATGCAGTTCCAGAGTGTTATTAATATTTTCCGGCCAGATTTAGTTCTTGGCCCACAGTGCACTGTGGGATGGCATTCTTTTATGGTGTCGAAGTAAAAAGTCGTTAAGGAATAACCCATCTTTTTTTTAAAACTATATTTTCTATGTTTTTTAATTTACCAAAAATGATTTAGTTAGTAAATAACGGAAACTTGGCATCCTGAAAAAAATACGTTTTGATTTTTCAAAAAATATTGGAAAAATAGTTCAAAAATATTAAGAAATCGCTTTTACCGATTTTTTAAAAATAATTTACGGTAAATTATTTTTTCAATGCAATGCCCTGATTCAATAACCGTAAAAATCAACCTTCAGGATTTGTTCGATTCCACGATGAGATAGAAAATGTTTACATGTAAATTTCCTAAAGAATCTAGGGAAAAAACTGAATCTCTTTGATTTTTATACATTTTCCAATAGTTTTAGAAAAACCGAAACGCGCAAAAAAATGTGAGCGGTAAGTTTCCCCTTAAACAATAAATTAGTTAATAATCTACTATGCTACACAATAAATTACTAATTAATAGCCATCTACACATATAATCATATTGCAACTACTCAAGTAGGGGAAATGGATGTAATGTCGGCCTAAATGTCCCTAATTTGGGCCCATACATAAATTCAAAAATCTACTAAATTTTCAATGGGGACCAAAAATATCCATTAGTACTGTCCCAATGATGCGTTCATCTAGTTAAAATGGATAAATAGAAGATTTTTAGCGATGGGCCCAATCCTAGATCCATAGGCCAACATTACAGCCATTTCCCCTATATACTAATTGCTCCACAGCCCTTCGAGGCACCCTTCTACCATTCATTACTTTTCCACGGGTCAACCGTAACCGGCTGTTTCCATTTGTCGGTCCTGTGATCCAGACGATGCACGATATTTTGCAGATCGGCGAATTTCGAATCTAATGACGACGGCATTGGGAATGCGTTGGCAGGTTTCGAAGGATATTCTTTGATCGACCATGTCCCGGGCCAGTCCACTGGGTCGGGATCATCCGAATCGAAGCGTGTTGGTCGATAGTTTGAGCTGTGGGATGGTAATGGGGGTGCTTGATGGTAGTTTGGTGGGAACGGTTTTTTGTGACTTTGTGATTCCCACGGAGGATTAGAGTTCCCCTCTGAGTCATGTCCTGGAACGACGTTGTAGTAATAATATTTGTTGCCCATCACGGTTTCGCTGTAGCTAGGACTGCAGTTGCAGTTGCACGCCAGAGGATGTTGAGCGTTGGTGTGGGAAATTGGCTCATTCGGACATGGAATCGATGGCTTTTGATTTTGGCTGTTATCTGAAACTGAAGAAAAATTTAAATCTTTACTAATGCTACTCGTTTGGGACTTGAAAAAGCTATTTTTAACCTGTTTTTTGATGATAAACGTTCAACGTATTGAATTCTCTGAGCGTGTTCTTATGTTTCACCATCAAATCCTTGTAGGCTCTGGACAGAATCAGCGCTTGGCTTCTCAGTAGGGACACCTCGGTCTTGATTTTCACAACGACATTCTCGAATTCTTCCCTGCTCATATCCATCCTAATATTCATATCGGTACTAGGACCATCCGAGTTGAGTCTCGATTCAGTCATCGCAGCGAAATGCATTTTAAGGAGAGTTTCTTGCACTTCCTGGGAATGGTCGTTGCTTTCCAGCAAGTGAGATTGATCGTAATCGGTCCACTGGTCATCGTGGGCAGCCATTGTGGCACCCACCAGCCAAAGCAGAATGGCCAACAGGAACGTTCTTATTTGATTACCAGCAAGCTGAAGGAACATTGCATGTCATGGTGAATGTCTAACTCGGTCTAACAGCAGAGATCTCACATGCATACTTACGTTCATTGTGTGGCAGGAGCATGGGGACTGAGCGTATGGATGGTTTCGATTGTGAACTTGAACTGGGAATTTATCCAACTGATGTGGTTGTGTTTTTCCTTGCTGCAAGAGAAAGTTCAGATGACGCCACGCACAATGCAAACAGGCGGGAAAGTTAGCGTTAGGCCTTTCAAAAATAAACACGCGGTGTGTAAGTCGAAAGGTTCATCGATTAAAAAATGGGATTTCAATACAACCTGCGAATTTTTGGAACATTCAATTAGAACAATTGGTTGACAATGTGTCAGTATAAGTAGATAGACATTTAAACACTAAAGGTCGTAAATTAACTGAAATTGATTTGAAACTCATAAGCATGAGATCTATTTTGTTCAGTGCTATCTTGTACATGTCATACGTCAATCTTATTAATTTTCATATGAATATCACATGACAACGTTTTCAGTCACTAGTTTATTTGACAGATCTACTTAATTGACTCTTAAACGTGGCGACAGGGGCTTTCGAATGCATATTTTTTCAATGTTTACGAGTTGTAATTTTATCCAGAAATGTCGAAGTATGATGCTGTCGTTGTCTTCGCTCGATCTCACTAATGAGCTTCGGGTTTATGTCCGTGATTGAGCACGGTTAATTACCATGAAGTCATATAAAACGATAAACGTTGCGCAAAAACATCCCTCATCGACACACCGTCTCCCACATTATTCGGCAGAAGCACAACATTCAAACAAATATATTATCGGTGAAGTTGAAAACCGAAAAAGCATTAGCGGCAATCGATTTTACTTTCGTTCTTATCATTATACATAGTGTCGGAAGTAGTGCGTTGTATTTAAATTATGATGCGCTGTACAGCGCACTACTTCCGACACTATGTATAATGTATAGAACGAGATTAAAACCGAGTGAAATTTTTTGGTTTCCAACTGTACCGACAATATGCCTAAAATCCCTTTCGAAAGTGCTCGATATCAGCAGTTGAATGTATAAAGCAACGGAAAAAGCCACATGCTTGCATCATTCCTGTTTCGTTCACTCATCGGCCTGTATCGCATTTTATTCTCCGTTCGTTAGCACATTGAGAAGGTAAGCCATTAGTAGTGGTTTTGAGCCCAGACAGTAATTTTCGATTCTCCTTTTCAGCAGCGTGCATCCGCAATGACTTCGAGCTTGATCTTCTTCGGCCTACTGGTCACAGCCTGCTGTCTATCTCTGGTGGCATCGTTTGATCCAGCCAAATCCGTCATCCCTCTGGTCGGTGACGGGGGCCTATCACGCCGAGGACGCGATTTACTCCTTACGGACAAGGACGAGGACTATGACTTTTTCCAGCCGAAGCAGCCGGAGATGAAGCTGGATAGTTACAAAACATTGCTGGATGCAAGCCGACTGCGGCACTTTGAAGTCTCAGAATCTACCCGGGTCAAGCTGTTGCTGACCAAGCTGCAGCTAAGAAGCACTCAATTTATGGACGTTGCCCGGGAAACAGCTCACTCTGCAGTCAATCTGGTAGCGGCCTTCACGAGGCTGGTTGAGAACTGTAACGATAATTTTATTATTGTGGCGCAGTAAAATCTGGATTGTGAAATAAATGTTGGTTTTTGGATTTGATCGGTGCTGGTGTTTTGGTTGAGATATCAAAATTCCTTTGGTTGGAGGGGCTGCGGGAATTAACAGGGTTGTGTTTCGTTTTCTGCTGTGCCGGTGGTGTAAGCGTGATTATCTCTCACCTAAGCAGGCCTGGGGTAAATCCAAGTCAGTGCCGCCGGGATGTTCTGAGGTATAACACCTCTGATTACGCCTTCCTTCGGAAGGGAAGTAAAGCCTTTGGTCCCCGGTTCATGAGTTGATGAGTCGAAACCCGTTTCATGAGTTGATGAGTCGAAAGGTACTGTCCAGGTGTGGGAGCTGCCTCCCTGGCGTTGGAAAACAAGATCGACGGAAAACAAATCAAGGAAAAAAGGCTTGCCTTTCTGGACGATAATTACTAACGCAGTGTTGCTTTCACTCACTTCATTATAAAAAAAATGTTTTTCGATATTTTTGGAATCATTGGATGCTATAATGGTGTTTTGTATTTGTAAATCACAAGTAGATTTTGAAAAGTAGGTGTTTGACCTAAAAAAAACTCTCAATTCAGAGTGTCACAATCAGCGCTTTTATGATTAGCTGACTCAGAGTCATCCAAATTGACAGGTTTTATATGGGTCATTCCGCACAAAGTGATTGTTGGCGGACATGGGGCAAATACAGGTAATTAGCAGAGAAAATCGAAACTTTAGAGCAGAAATAAACGAATAAATAATTGCGAATGCTTTCCACTTGTTTTATTGTCTGTAGCAAATATAGGATTAGCGAAAGAAAAAACAAAAACAACTATGGTTCGGTTTACTGCATTGTCGTTAAACGCTATCTATCGTGTTCCAAAAAAAAAGGCGTATTCACGCTAGTGGCGTTACACGCTAACACTCCTCCTCGTGAACTAACCTTGACCACCTCCATCTCCATCGCAGCTTCCCAATGCCATCGCTGAAGCGAACCTTCCGAACATAACCGGCCCGAGAGGCTTAGTTAGAATGTCCGCGATCTTATCCTTGGACGGACAGAACCGCAGCTCGATTTCTCCTGATGCGATCTTCGAATGCGACGAAGTCCATACATCCTTTGTTGTCTTGGTGAATTACGGTTGCACGGGTTTGCTTCAAGTTCAACCTTCTGAGGAAAACTGCATACTGTGTAGCCTCCAACAATGCTACGTATTCTGCATCCATGGTGGACGTAGTCACGCTACTCTGCTTACGGCTCGTCCAGCTGATCGTAGCTTCTTCTAAGCGGAACAGGTAACCACTGGCTGACTTGCGGTCGATAGTATCACCCGCCCAATCGGCGTCACAGTAGCCCTCCAAATTCTGCTCCACATCTCTAGTGCTTCCGTCAAGCTTCAGACCGTAGTCCATCGTATGAATCAAGAACCGGACGATCCTTTTGGCCTCGTTCCAGTCAAGTTCCGTCGGGCAGCTTACCTTACGGCTAAGGATTCCCATGCTAGCCGCAATATCCAATCAGCTTGTGATTCGCAACGTTGTCCTTGAGGTTTCGACTATACTTAATAACTTTAACTTAATACCCAGTGACGAGAGGATACTTCGAACCTTTTGCGCCTTCCATCCCAAAACGTTTAACCAGCTTTCTTATGAAAACGCTTTGATCCAAGATGAAGAAGTCATCAACGCTCCTTGTGACTTGTATTCCCAGAAAACAGTTGATATTCTCCAACTTGGAGATGGTTAACTTCTCTTGCAGTGAGTCTTCGACCTTTGTGATCTCCTCCTCAGGCGCACACAAAATGTCGTCCACGTAGATCATAAGATACACCCAATCACCATTATCGAGAAGCTTCCGGTACAAGCACGTGTCCGCCGTGCATTGCTCGAACCTCATACGAATCAAAATTTTCGTAACAGTCATATGCCAGCTTGCTTTAGGCCGTAAATGCTTTTACGTAGCCGGCAGACTTGATTTTCTCTTCATTTGACGATGAATCCTAGTCAGCGAATCCAAACACATAAAACAACCAACGATGCAGACAAAACGGTTGCTACGACTACCATGACAAACTCGCTCTATAACATAGCTCGATCCGAGTGGTAAAAGGATAATGATATATTGCTTGCCTGCTTTGTTGCAATAAACACGGATGAGGATAAAGCTTGATATGAATCGAGAAAAGACATAACAAAAAAAAATTCCCATTAACACACGTGTATCAGCTTCGGCTCTACTTCGTGAAGCAGTTTGCCAAAAATTAGCTCGTTTCCTTCTACCGCCCCGAGTGAGTTGTGTCGCACGGGCTGCTTGTCATGAAAAAGAACGAAGAAGATTATATCATTATTGCTTTGCACTTCTGACATAGCGTTATTATTCGGTTCGTTGATCGCTTGTCATTTTGTCATTTGGAGATATTTTTGATTCCTTGATCCTAGTACACTGCGCCTAAGGCTAAAAATCTCTCGCGTCACTTTTCAAATAGACCCATGTAACATATCCACCATTTTGTGGAAATCGAAGTTGAAGTTCGACAGATTATTATTTTAACCGTTTAGAAACAATACATTTTGCAATGCCATTTTTAATGTAGTCAGTGAATAATAACGTTGAAAATTCATTAGAAACGGTAAAATTACAATTTTACTTTGAATTTCATGCTACAAGATAGAAAAAACCACATAGGACGTTTTGACTAGTTAAGTTGTACATCGGACATGTTACATTGGACGATTTTTCTCAATGATATAATCAATGAGTGTTACATTGGACGTTTTGTCTACATGATACTAGATTCCCTTTCACAGATTTCAGAGTAGAGTACCTAACTTTAGGTTGGCCCCGCCTTTAGAAAATGAGCACCAATCATGTTAAGCAGTCCGAATGACCGAAGTAACAATCATATACCCATCATTTCAAACTGTACATTGGACAATTTTTGATCAATGATTATCTTAAATAAATGAAAGTAAATTTGGATGGATGTTTTTGTATCACATACAATGATAGAAGAGCAATAGTTTGTATCGTTTAACTCGATTTGTTTACATTTGTTACATTGGTCTATATGAAAAGTGATGCGAGATCTCTAAAATAAAGATTAAAAAAATCTAGTACACTGCTGTGCCACCGGAGCGAAAATCTCGTCATAATCGAGTCCAAAACGCTGGGCAAAACCCAGTACGACGAGTCTCGCTTTGAACCTGTTGACGTTGACTTCGGAATCAAGCTTCCGGTTATATACCCACTTGCTTCCCATTATATTATTCACATTACAGTTATGACCCGATCCTGTCAATCTCTCCGCGCATCAGACTGTTATTTTTCAATAATTCCACATAATTGTAATTTCATACCTTCCTCCTTCAAGATGAATGTTTAAGATACGCATACTTTGCTAGCTGACAAAATGGGGTCATTGCTGTATAATTATTCTCTTTTTGCAGCCTTCATTCAGACTGGATCTATTGATTTAAATTATTTGAGTTTTCTTCCAGCTCTTTGATGACGGAACATCACTAGATTTATACTGTAATGATTCACTCTAGCTTTCACCCTGGTTTTGTCTGTTGATTTGATTTGTTTGAATTGGTTTTCAGTTCTTTGGTGTTGGCAGTCGCGGGCGATCAATTTTGCTCATGCTCATGCTCTAAGTTCATTTTCAGCATTTCGATGATGGAACGTCTTCAGATTTATATTATAAGGGGGCTTATTACGGATGTCACATCACGGTGAAAAGTTGTCACTTGTCGTCACGGTGAAGTGACTCCCATTTGATTTGTACGGTAATCACGGCTCTTATTCTGAGTATCACTTTCTTATCACCGTGTAGTGACAGCCGTAATAAGGCCCAATGATACACCATTTGGTTTTGGTTTCGGGCAAATCCAAGTATAATGCATGATAACACTGATTCATTTAAAACCATGGTCGCATCACTTATCAAGGTCCTGATCCAACGAACCCAACTTACTAACAAAATCTCATTTTCTGTGTCTTTTGTTGGGGTGCGGAGGTAAACACGGCCCACAAACAACAAATGTCACTCTAATATTCCCTCCCTACTCCCACCTGATTGCAAGGACGTGGCCGGCGCCGTTATTGATCTACAACATATGGAGTCACTGAAACTTGTACAATGAGAATGGACGGTCACTCCCAGCCCCATTCAGTTGATTCATTGTACAATTTCACTGATTCTGATCAATCACGGAGTTGCAACCATTGATATGTGCAGTCAATCTTAGCTAAGCTAGCTATTGGTTATCGTATATGTATAGTGTTTATAGTACTACATATCTTTCATTATTGACTTTACATCATTTAATATTATTGTAAATTACATTTTATAATACTTAATTCTTAATGTTAGCTATTATGAGCGGCTCCAGGGAAGCATAGTGCCAGCTTGAAAAGAAATCTGAATCGTTCATTATCTGTTTCGTAAAAATCTTGTGTTTATTGTATCTTGTTACATGGCATTATAACGCATTTTCAATATTACATTACATTTAAATAAGTATTAACCCGGTTACACACATTTCAGGTCATCCAGGTCTTAAATAAGATGGGATCCGTTCCTTTTATCAACAGTTGTGATATTGCATCATATGCTGAAAATATATGAATTATCGCGTATTTCTGTTGTTCATTACATACCAGGTGAGGGCTTAATCATGTTTTGCCGTCTAGTGTTTTGGTTTTGAGATGCTCGATAACCTTAGAGGGATCGGTTTTGCTTAATGAGCAGAATATCATGGGTTTAATCCCAAGCTCTCCCACAACATAACACAACACAAACATATCAAGTATCATTCTAGCTAAAAATATTTATTTGCATAATATAACCTGGAAATTTCAGGGTTACATCTTCCTTATTTGGAGCTGAGGAGACATAGAGCTGCATCATATTGTATGTAAAATAATTATTATTTTCATTGCGTAATACCAGTTTTTTTGTATCCATATAAATGTATTTTCATTATTACGTATTTTAATGTTCTGATATATTTCATTTATCCATTACATATATTTACTATATATATAAATAAATACTGGATTGGGAGGGAGCATCAGTGGAGTGGTATGACAACCGGAGTCTAGGAGGGAATTTTTTTTTTTTTTCCTTTGGTTTTGTTTTTTCCGTCGATCTTGTTTTCCGTGCTGAGCACCAATGCTACCGACGTGCCAGGAAGGCAGCTCCCACACCTGGACCCTACCTATCGACCCATCAACTCATGAACCGGGGACCAACGGCTTTACTTCCCATCCGAAGGAAGGCGTGATCAGAGATGTTATGCCTCAGAACATCCCGGCGGCGCCGACTGGGATTGAACCCAGGCCTGCTGGGGTGAGAGGTAATCACGCTTACCACTACACCACCGGCGCCGTTTAGGAGGGAATAAACACTATCATTTTCTTTATCCTACCGATTCGATTGTGATGGTGTGAATTCTACTCCAACAGTTTCATGGAGATTGACGCGCCCTTCTTAACAAACCATCCTGTAGGAAGCTTAATAAGTATTGCGAATTGCGTTATTCGATTTGTTGGATCGTATCGTTGGAAGGAGATTCTTAAATTCCCGTGGATTTCGCGTAAGTGTCTCTGCTTACGGGTCCACCCCACCGTTTTTGGCCCTTCATACAGCGATATTGTGAATTCAGATCGGTAGCTCAAATTGATCTTGCTATTAAGTGGAGCTGCATACAAGACAAGATCTTTGAAGGGATGGTGGCTACCTTACATACATACATACATTGATTCAATACTTTAGTATTAAATTTTCAAAACATACAATGATGCATTATGTCATTTCATGGCACATAAAACAAAAAGTGTGTGTTTAGGACCCAATAATCTAGGTTATTTGTATTTTGTAAAACATCCTTATTTTCTATTATATTTTTTATTTTATTACATATTTTATATACATTATATATTACATGATTATATATAAATTCATAATGTAAATTACAATAAATACTGGGACGGGAGGGAGCATCAGGGCATCATTGAAGTTGTAACTGGACAATGGAGTGGAGTGCCAACCGGAGTCTAGGAGGGAATGTGTACTGTCATTTGAGATAGTTACATTTCACTCCAACAGTTGCAATGAATTTGACGCGCTCTTCTTAAACAAATCATCCCGTGGAAAGCTTAACATGTATTGCGAATTTCGTTATTCATTTTGTTGGATCATATTGTTGGAAGGAGATTCTCTTATTCCCGCGGGTTTCGCGTAAGTGCCTCTGCTTACGGGCCCGTCCAACCCTTTTTGGCCCTTCATACAGCAGTATGTTGAATTCAGAATGATGACGGAATTTGATCTTGCTGTTGAGTGGAGCCGCATGCAGGGCAAGACCCAAGCTAGGATGGTGGCTACTTACATACATACATACTTGCTTCCCATTATATTACTTTAACGTCATCGGTTCGTCAGCTTCCATCGCTACCATGCCCATCACGTAGTCACTGAACCGCACTGGAAAAGCTCCAC